TGTGCTGGAACTGAGCCCGGACAGACCTTTTTAGCGAAATTGAATATCCATCGGTTGGAGTATTCTTCACTCTCATTGAAAGATGAGCGGTTACGCATGTTGCGAGCCACCCTCCACAAGGTGTTCATTGAGGTTTCTCGTGAGAGTCCCTCGACGAAATTGCGCCAATAACCGCGTTTTTTTGCTTTGATTAATTGTTTCAGCTTTGTCTCAAGCTTTGAATATTCCTCGAAGTAAGTGGAGGTTTTGTGTCTACGAAAAGCTTTGAAAGCATCAGATTTTTCTACATTCAATTTTGTGCATTCTTCGTCCCATCCAGGTGTGGCTGGTCTCCTTTTGAAGGGCGCACTTGGAACTTTTCTTTTTTTGTGCTTCAAGTGAGCTTTTATACATCAAATCGGCGAGGAATCGATATTCTTCCAATGGTGGAAGCATATCTATTGATTCGACACCGATTTTCACCATCGTTGCATATTTCTGCCAGTCGTTGTTCCTTGTAAGATCACATGGAACTCGAGATGGTTCTGCAGAGTGAGGGCCACACTTAATTGAAATGATAATTGGCAAAGGATCGCTACCATGGGGATCATTGATAACCTTCCACTGACAATCCAACGATAGCGATCTTGAACACAAAGATAGGTCGAGTCGGCTTTCGTGAGCCGGAGGTTTTGCTATACGTGTCGCTTCACCTGTGTTCAAAAAAGTCAAATTGAAGTCGTCACATAAATCGTAAGAAAAAGCCGCTCTATTGTCATTATATAGATCGCCCCACCCAGTACCATGGGAGTTCATATGACTCAGAATCAATACTTGAGATGGAAGAATCGAAACTAGATTCCAGAGCTGACTACGGCTAATGGGGGTTCTTGGTGGAACGTATACTGAAGCTATGCAAAGGTCCTTGTTCTTCACATGTAACTGTACTGTCTGTATCCCGGTAAAAACGCTCAGTAGCAAGAAACCTCTCGAGCTGTGTCTCAAGGTCGGCTTACTACTGGGTAACCTGGAGGGGCTTCGAGATTCTCATATGCAGTACTGTCACCTGACTAAAAGCTATGAAAAGTTTAAGTGACACAGTAATCAAAGGGTGTATGCTAATGATTTATTAATAAAAGCTATATCAGGTGTGGATTGTATTTCTAATAGTAGTTCTATTGAATTTTATGGGTGTACAGTGGGTTTTTACTATGGGGGTTTGACGTACCGGTACTGAACTGCTGCCGTTGATTCTGCTCCGCCGAAGACTACTCTGCTGTTGTGCGAGCGCTCGCCGATGATACTACGTACGACGAGCTTGACGTCAGGCGAATCAAGCCTGACAGGGTGGTGATGTTTGAATTTACTTGCTAGTGGATCGGTCGACAGATCGACTTGACTTGATGGCGATCTGCGGTCTCCTGGCGTCTACCCTCGTTGACAAGAATCACTAGAGTCCAGGCAAGGCCGGAGTGACTCTGGACACTTGGTTTTAACGATCCGAAGCACACGAACACCAGATACTGATTCAGTTATTTTCCACCCATTTTAAAATCACAATTTCGCCCGAATGTTGTTGTACCCACTGATAGAATACTCATACCCACTGTACTGTTGTACGGTTTTATACAATTTTCAAATTAAAGCAATTAATCCTACTAACAAATTAACAATTTTATACAACGACTACTAACCCTACTAATCCAACACCAAATAACCTTAAGAGACGTGACGGTACATTTAACAACTATGCACAAATTAAAAATCTAATATGTTTTGTTACAAACGGTTACACACATTTATTTGGCAAGCGACGATTTCAACGCCTAATAGAGCAGGAAGGGACATTTTGTAGAAAGGGTAGTACTTTTTGATCCCTAAAAGTACTTCTCCATAAGAATCGTCTCTATCCAGGCGTATAATGTTAAAATCGTGGAAGTTGAGTTCTTTATCGGAAGAAAGCCATGTTTCACAGAGAGCAAATATATCACAATCGGAATTGTAAAGTGAAAATTTGAACGAGTCTAGTTTAGGCACTAGACTACGGCAGTTACACTGTAGCACATATCTTCATATCTTCAACCTCGTTCGACGAATTATTCATCGAATCATATAAATGTTGCATTAGGTATTGGCAAGATATTTCAATTGATATGCTTAACGAAAACTGCTAAATTCTTGTTTAATGCGGTAAAATTAAAAATGCCAACGAAAACTTGTTTTCGAAATACTGCGGTCAAAGGCACATATCGATTTCATTCCAAGGAAGCATACATTTAGGAATTATCTATCTTCTTCCTCTATTGAATTTCAATGGTTCACGCCTGATGGTTATGCTTCCAACTACATTTCGTGGGGCGCTTTATGCCCCAATTAGAGTAAGAAATAGTATCAGTGAAAACTACTATTTTTCTAATAAACATACCTGACTCTCGAGCCGATTTACCTAAATCACTGTTCACGGTGTGCTCAAATCATTTTCGGAACATTTGGCGAGAGGAAACCGAGAAGTTGTACAAACATTGGACTGCTGATCCTGTTACGGACCGAAAAGTGAAGAGGATATTGAAGGAAAACCAGAATCTCTCTGGCTCATAAAATAGGACTGTCACCTGGTTTTGTCCAAAAATCAATACAGCGTTTGGGGTTGAAATCGTATAAAGTAAAAACAGCTCCAAATCGCAACGACAAACGGAATTTGACAGCAAAATCACGCGCTCGACGTTTATACTTTCAGGGCTGGCTTTCTATTCTACTATGGCCAAAAATGCTACAGCTGAGAAGGCATCGAAATTTCCCAAAAAATACCTTATTTGGCAAGCAATTTGCACGTGTGGCCGAAAGAGTAAATCTTTCGTCACTACAGGCACAATCAACAAGGAGATTTACCAAAAAGAGTGCTTGCAGAAGCGATTGCTACCCTTCATCAAAAGCCACAAAGAAAACCCTTTGTTCTGGCCCGATTTAGCATCATGACATTATGCTAAAACTGTGATGAAGTGGTTACGAAGTGTACCAAAAAACGCAAATCCGTCAAATTGTCCAGAGTTACGTCCAATCGATAGATATTGGGCTCTGATGAAGCGGAAGCTTTCTGGAAGGAAACAACGAATCAAAGATACCAAACACTTCCAACAAATTGGGATAAAGTCGGCCACCACGGTATCTGAGGAGTCTATACAAACCCTAATGGATTGAGTTAAGCGCAAAGTTCTAAAATTTTATGCAAATGCCGAATAACTATGTTTTGACTTCGTGAATTTTTAAATCATATCGCATGAATCTGAAACAAACAACTACAATTGAAATATAATGCGAAATTTGTGTTTTACTTGAGTTTTGATGTGTCCGGGTTATTGTAGATACATACCATAAAAAGTATTCTTATGAGTATTTGAAAACAGTTTTGAGGATAGTTTCAACGAAATTTCCAACGATGTTCTGAGGTACATTTCAAAGGAATACTACTGTGTTAACTGTCTTATAACGAACATACGTTGTATACGAGTACCCCGAATACAACGTTTAGTTCGTCTAATTTGACATTCCAAATGCTATGCAAAACTATACGAGTCATCCTTTTTTTAGAACTTTATTCTAGAGATTTTTAACCGGAGGCTAGTTGATCTCTTAGACGAGTCATACGTTGTATTCGGGGTACTCGTATGCAACGTATATTCGTTATAAGTCAGGTAAAACAATAGTGTTTCAAGGTTATTCAGGTATAAATTGCCTCCTCCTCCTAGAGAGCTCCTAGGAATTCTGAGGACCTTCTCTCGGAACCACTCCAAGAGAATTCTGGGAGAAATGCAGAGAGAATTCCGAAGATTATTCCATGGGAATTATAGAAGAATACTTAGTGAATACTGAGAGGAGACATATTTTTAGGATAATTCTATAGGGAAGCGATAATTGTTAAGAACTGTATGACTAGGGTGAATAAAAAAATGTTCTATGAAGAATTTCTAGAATATTATGCAACAAATTGTAATTGATTCCCACTTTTGATGATTAAATACCATAATGTACCTTAAAAATCATCATTTTTGAGAATTAAAAAAAAATTAACTGCAAAATTTGACTCAAAACAAGCCGTAACATTTTTTTCTTATAGTTTGGACCTTAAGAAATCTATAAAAAATGTAGAAGGGTTAGCTTTCACTGGATTTTAAAGAATTATATTTTTTGTCGATATAAGCTAACAAAATAACTCAAACTTGTAACATCTAAACCATATTTCCCAAAGTGGCCGTCATACAAAAGTGTGTTTGTAACACCCTAAGCTATCATTTGGAGGATGAGCCCCAGGTTTCATGACTATTTTTGAATTCCTTGTAAAAAGTTGTTTTGCCTTCGAGTTCATCGTCTTATTTGTGACGAAAATCTATGTTTTTACGGCCACAACTGCAGATCTACAGTACCGGCATTTTTTTTTTTCTCGGCGTAACTTTTTCTGATGTTTATGAAATTTTCTAAAATCTTGGCTGCTGGTTGGTCAAATGTTCGAGATTCTTCACGGGAGAGTTCTGCGCTGTCGCCTAGCTGGAAGGCCTTGTCCACCTGAACTATTTTGCAGAAGACACCTACGTCCAGCGGGCGGGACACCTTTGCTGAACATATCCAGCTTTCCATACTCGGTAATGGCGGCCTGTTTGTATGAATAAATGTATCCTTCACTGTGCTTTTTGACACTAACTGGAGGACGTATGTTGTTCCATTTTCTTCTATTCCTGGGAGAGGGAAAGGAAGGGGTCAAAATCCGATCATCCAGATAGTGTCAAAAAGCACAGTGAAGGATACATTTATTCATACAAACAGGTCGCCATTACCGAGCATGGAAAGCTGGATAAAGATATTACATCAAAGTTGTAGCTGACAAAATTTCACATAATAACACCCAACAAATATTGGAAACTGAATAATATCGTATTTATCATATTATTCAGCCTTTAATCAGCACAAGTTGTTTGTTGGTCCATATAAATCTAATTGAAATCTATGCCTTTTATCTATCTTTCCAGAAACGAAAAATGGTCGGCGAGTCCACATCCACACAGGTCCTTCGGGATCTGGAAATATCACTCCGCACCAACCACATCGAATGGGTAAAGGAATTCCTGGACGACGAAAACCAAGGCCTGGACGCATTGATCGACTACCTGAGCTTTCGGTTAGCGATGATGCGTCACGAGCAGCGGATACAGGAAGCCAAGTCCGAATCGGACGAAGGCCTTAACCCCAAGGATACGACAATCACGTCGTACGGTAGCAACGAAACCAACCACAAACTTGGCGGCACCAATGGGTTCATGCGACCCGGACTGGGGGACATGATGGACAGTCCCAGTATAAAGCGAAGATCGAGGCATATCGCGAAGCTCAATATGGGCCTGACGACGGATGACATCCATGTGTGTATAATGTGCATGAGGGCGATCATGAACAACAAGTACGGCTTCAATATGGTGATACAGCACCGGGAAGCGATCAATTGTATAGCGTTAAGTCTGATACACAAGTCACTGCGGACGAAGGCATTGGTCCTGGAACTGCTGGCAGCGATATGCTTGGTGAAAGGTGGTCACGAAATCATCCTATCGGCATTCGATAACTTTAAGAAGGTTTGCTCCGAACAGCGTCGCTTCCAGACGCTGATGGAGTACTTTATGAACTACGAACTATTTAATATAGATTTTATGGTTGCATGTATGCAATTTGTAAATATCGTTGTACATTCCGTGGAGGACATGAACTACAGGGTGCATCTGCAGTACGAATTTACTGCGCTAGGCTTAGACGAGTATCTGGACAAGCTAAGGTTAACGGAATCAGAGGAGCTACACGTTCAAATTTCGGCCTATCTGGACAATGTGTTCGATGTGGCTGCTCTGATGGAGGATAGCGAAACGAAGACTGCCGCCCTTGAGAGGGTAAACGAACTGGAAGACGAACTAGGTCGTGCCTTGGATCAGGCTAGTGAAATCGAACGGGAAGCACTGTTCAAAATTGGGGAACTTGAATCGGAACTAAGTCAAACGCGAGCCGAACGAGACGACTTCTGCAACCAGCTACGGGTTGTTGAGGAGGAAATTACGAAACTGAAACGAGCGCTCAAACAACACGAACAAGAATCCAAAAGTCGTCAATCTATGCTACTGGAGCTGGAGAACCTCACCAAAACCTTACCGAAGGGAACATCGATAGCGGACGTATCGAGTATGCTTGCAAATGGCGGAAAACTCTCCGAGCTCAGTCCTACGAGCAACGGCGGAGGAGACAAATCCGCCCCACCAATACCACCACCTCCGGCACCTCCAGCACCATCGGTGGCACCCACGCCACCACCTCCACCCTGTCCACCTGCACCACCTGCCCTTCCAAATCTGAATGGTACCGCACCGCGGGCACCTCCGAAACCACCTTCATTCATTCCACCTCCACCGGCTGGTCCCGGTGGGTTCATGAACATGGGCGGTGTCATGCACTGCACCGACGGTAACATGACCCTCAAACGTAAAGTACAAACGAAATACAAACTGCCAACGCTCAACTGGGTTGCCCTGAAGCCGAACCAGGTCCGGGGAACCATCTTCAACGAGCTGGACGACGAGAAGCTGCACCGGCAGATCGATTTCATCGACTTCGAGGAACGGTTCAAGATCGGCATGGGTGGACCGCTGACGAACGGCAACTGCGACATGGACGGGCTGTCGACATTCCCCAGCAAGCGGTTCAAGAAACCGGAGCACATTTCGCTGCTCGAGCATACGAGGTTAAGAAATATTGGTGAGTAGGACGGCATCATTCTTTGGGCGAGAAGTTGTTGTTTTTCGAAATCGGGAACTTTAAAGGAACTACTAGTATTTGTTCAGGAAACTTCCAATTGACGGTTAGATGACCCTAAGAAAAGGTATGGATTCTCCAGCTCACGGAATCTTCCTCAGTAAGTTCGGGAACCTTCCACGCGATGGTCAGTAATCGTAGAAAATCTTGAAGGGAACCTTCCTGGCTAAAACAAAAGTTCAGTAAAACTCCTAAGGAAAATCAAGGTCATTCGAAGAAAACTTTACCCTGAAGTTTAACCTGAGTAGGTTTATTCCTCAGATTCTTACAAAAAATTGAACCACTCGGTACCTTCATTTACTTTGAAGGTAAGCTCCCTGGGACCTCCCTTAGCTCAGTCGGTAAAGGCGCAGCTACAAAGCAAGACCATGTTGGAGGTGGCTGGGTTCAATTCCCGATCCGGTCTAGGAATTTTTAGGTTGGAAAATTTCTCGACTTCTCTGGGCATAGAAGTATTATTGGACTTTGCCACACAATTATACCAATGCAAAAATGGTACAGGCATCGAAAGCTCTCAATTAATAACTGTGGAAGTGCATCTAGAACAGTAAGTTGAGAGCACGCAATATGCTAATATGCGATATGCAATAAGCTTGAAATGCGAAGAAGAAGAAGAAGAAGAAGTAAGCAGAGCTGACTTTGTATGTAGAAATTTCAGAAAAAAAAATCTCGTTGAAAACGACAAGTTTAATTCTAGGAAACTCAGAAAATAGTCACGTAAACTGCAGTGCACTTCGGAAGAAATCTTTGAAACCTCAACGGTAACATGCTAAAGATGTCTAAGGTCCAGAGAAGCTTCAGGGGTCAGCTGTTCGGGAACCTCTAAGTTCAGGCGAAGTTCAAAAATCATATATAAATACATACTTGTGGTCCAGGGGAAGCTCCAAGAAAATAATCCTAAAATTAATCTAATAGAAAGTTTAAGAGAATTCCAGCAAGCCTATGGAAGAAGGTCCTGTAACTTTTTGTTTAAGTTCAGAGAACCTTTAAAAAAACCTCAGAAAACCACCTGTTCAGGGAATCTTCCGAAGAAATCCTTGTTCAGGGAAACTGCTACGGTAATTCAGGAAAGGCTGAGCAATTTTTACAGGAATCATTCCCACGAATTGCAGAAAACCTCCGGAAGAAGGTTCCGTTTTTTTTGTAGTCCGAAGAACCTTTAGTAGTAGTTCAGAAAACTACCAGTGGTTGTATCAGGAACCTCCTGTAGACATGTAGAATTTTTTGTATAACCTTAAGGTCCCGAGGAAATTCAGGGTGATTCAGTTAAATTTTCGGGAAAGCTGTGAAAACTTTTGAAGAAATCTTCCAGAAGAATTTTCCGGTGTAGGTTCTATAAATTCTCGTTGCAGTCCGGAGCACCTTATAAAATAGTTCAGAATACCACTAAAGCTTGTTCTGGGAACCTCCCTAAAATATTAGGAATCATTGAAATCATTGGAAGTTGTGGAAATTTTCAAAGAAATTCGGTGCAACTTCAGTCAAATTTCAGGAAATATGTACTGAACCATTCATTTAACGGTTAGATACTGCTCAGGGGAAGACCTAACATAGAAACTTCTTCTGTAAATTGTTAGATCTTCCTCTCAAACTCACCTAACTACGCTTTAAAGTTTATTTAACAACTGAGAAGGTTAGGTTAGGTTTTCTTTATTAAGGAGGTTTTCAGCCTTGGGCTGGTTCGCCTCCGGAGTAACAACTGAGAACCTTCTCTGAGAGCCTCTTGAACTCAATGAACCCACGCTCAAAAACGATCACCCAAGCTCTACATTTGTTCAAAAATGTCATGAAGCTTCTAATGACATCCATAAATTCCCCAGACTTTAAGGAAAACTCCAAAAATCTCCATAAAATAAAATAATAACAAAAACAATATTCAGGAAACTTTCCACAGGACCTCCAAGGGAAAATCACCAAGAAATGTTACTTCCAGGAGAAGTTTAGTAATAATCCAGAAGGAGTTCTAGCATAGAAGCTTTTCCAAACGCTCATTGAAACGTTTCTGAAGCTCCTCCCCTCCCCATAAAAATCTCCAAACTAAACTAGAAATGATTAAAGCTTCGCAAAAATTGCTCCGTAAATTTGCTTTTGTTTTAAATTGTGTCTGGGAAATTTCGGAAAATTTCAGAGGAAATCCAGCAAATCTTAAGGAGATTGCCTGGAAACATTTTTGAGTGTTTCTTGAACTTCAATTTGTCATCCGGAATCCAACAGGACTTCTCGTGCCACAAACTAACCCGTTTAACAGATAAGCTAATCCTTTGCCCTATTTCCTACAGCGATCTCTCGCCGCAAGCTGGAAATGCCCGTCGACATGGTCATTAAGGCGATCAACAACCTGGATCTCAAGCAGCTCTCGTTGGAAAACGTCGAGCTGCTGCAGAAGATGGTCCCCACGGATCAGGAGCAGAAGATGTACAAGGAATATGTGATAGAGAAGAAGGATCTGAATCTGCTGAGCGAAGAAGACAAGTTCATGCTCCAGCTAACCAAGGTGGAGCGAATATCCTCCAAGCTGTCGATCATGAACTACATTGGCAACTTCTTCGACAGTTTGCATTTGATCAATCCGGTGAGTGGTTGGTTTAGTTTCTAACAAGATAAGAGTACTTACTTCGGGCAAATTTCTTTCTCAAATCCAGCAAATTTACGCCATCATTTCCGCGTCGTCGTCGATCAAATCGTCGAAAAAGTTCCGCTCGGTGCTCGAGGTCATCCTCGCTTTCGGCAACTATCTGAACAGCAGCAAGCGGGGTCCGGCGTACGGTTTCAAGCTGCAAAGCTTGGATACCCTGCTGGACACCAAATCCAACGACAAACGGATGAGCTTGATGCACTACATTGTGACCACGGTGCGGCAAAAATTCCCCGAACTGATGAACTTCGATTCGGAACTGTTCTGCATCGACAAAGCTGCGCAGGTCTCGCTGGAGATTCTCATTTCCGATGTGAACGAACTGGAGAAGGGTATGGAAGCCGTCCGGAAGGAGGCTGAACTGCGAGGGAAGGGCACGCACAACCACGTGCTGCGGGATTTCCTCAACAATTCCGAGGAGAAACTGAAGAAGATTCGAACGGATTGCAAAACTGCGCAGGTAATTCGGCTCCGTTGACCCGATTGGAAATGGAAGAAGTCTAATCCTTTCAATTTATTCTTCAGGACTCGTTCAAGGAATGCATCGAATACTTCGGTGAATCGTCCAGGAATGCAGATGCCAATGCATTCTTCTCGCTACTAGTCCGATTTGTGAGAGCTTTCAAGGTAGGTGTACTTTTTTTTGGTCTTATGAGTCTCCAGAGCGGAGTTCCGCTGCAACTTGTTCCCATTGCTCTAACAATTGTTCCCAAACAGGCATGTGATCAGGAGAACGAGCAGCGCCGGCGGCTCGAGCTGGCTGCCCTCCAGGCTGCGAACAAGAAGGACGACAACGAAAGGGTCGTGCTGCGGAACAACAAGATCAACAGCCAGAAGAAGCAACAGGTACGCCTTTCAACGCATCTCAATGCCAATATCGTCGCTGAGCCGAGCTTCGCAGTGGTGGGGGGTCTTGGGGATCCCAGCATCCGGCTGTCTAGCACGTTCTTGCAAAACCTAACCCACATGAACCGGGAATTGCAACATGTGTTTGGCTCGCGACCGCCCAGCTAATAACCTAGAGGGTGCTTTGCTGCGTGGTTTGAATTTGTTTGATTCCGTTGCCTATTTGCGAGTTTTTTTTTGTAGATGTAATTCATGTTTTCATGTTCTAGACGTCACTTTGAAATTAGTTTTTTTGAGACATATTTTTGTTTGCGGAAGGTTTGGTATGCACCAATCGGTGGAAGTTAATGCACATTGGTTTAGAAGGTAGCTTGAATAGTGTAAAAATATGTCTCAAATCATACGGACTAAGATTGAATACATTTTGTTATTAATATTATTATGCTTCAAAGTGTAACAGTAATTGTATGATGGTATTGTGCATAATCTGGTTTATGTGTGTAACTTTATAGATTTTAAGTTCATTGTTTCTTTATAAAATATAAAATCCAAATTATTTGTATGCTTTTTTGCGGTTTGTAGTTTAGACCATTTCAGCGAACATCCAAAACTTCATCGCCTGGTGTAAGGTACCTACCTACTTTCATTGTATGTATATTTTTCCTGTATCATTTCATCATCAAGATCGAAGGCAAGCTCCTGAAGGTTCAGGAATCGATATCGAATGTTGAGATTGGTGAAGTAAAAACTTCGGGACATGCTGCTGTCAAGCTACTAAGCAAATCTGAAGCAAGTGTAGTGTCAAAAATGCAGGCCCGAAAAAAAAAGCAATTTGCTAAGTAATCCCCTTCGCAAGCCCATGTATCGGTTTATTTAGTATCATTATATTTTGAAATTAAACACCTTGTTCTCTTTCCAGTAAAGCGGGGGGATAAAGGAATGGATGTAATTAAAATTGCACTTTGGTCCGAAACGGCATTTTAGGAGGAATTTACTACATTCACGTAAGGATGTTAATGTCTTCGTAGAAGTGGTCCTTCATTTTATAAAAAAAAATATTGATTAAAGCGCTCATCGTTGAAATTAAAAGTAAGAATGAAACTTTTTTGTTTTAAGTTATAGGTGGTTACATTATTCAGCTAAGTTATAGAAACAATTATATCACGCAACTTTGCTGGATACGCCATAATATTTAGCTCCTTATTTGACCTTATTAGAGCTATTTCCTTGTTTTAGTTTGGGTGCCTCTAGTAAAAATCAATGTTTACATTTTATCTTTTTTGTTTCAAATTTTTCGAAAAGTAGTCTTCAGAAGAGTTGTACGCAATATTATCACCGACGAAACAACATGCCACTGGAGCATTCAATTTGTCCGCAATTCGATTTGTCAAATGAGTGATTAGATCTGTCGAACGGGCGATCGTCATCGTGTTTCTTATTATCGAGTCACGATGATCATTCCTCTTTTTAAACATGATTGGACTATCGCTTGTTTCGTTCGTCAAGTGCTTCAGTTCATTTCATTTGAAGCAAAGACTTGTTTCAATTGGCTCAATGAATGATTCGAAAACTGCTTCCTTCGTTTTTTTCCACTTTCACTTCAATTCGGGGCTCATTTGACTTGTCACGACCTGACGACGCAGGCATCAAAATATAGTATCCGGATAGTATCCGCACAATATCGGTTGCCGATAGGGATGGCATCCGGATTATATATAGTAATAATATATTATTTTACATTAAACGAAAATTAAATTAACGAGGCCATTCTGGACTGCAAACTGGCGGCTATTGGGGTCAGGGAAAATCTCAAATACCCTAGAATAGGGTATTTTCGGAACAGGGATGCCGCGTAGATGCTGAAAATCGATACCCGACACCATTTTGGAATTCAAGATAGTGGCCATTGATTTTATGAAGTGTTAAATACCCTAAGATATGGATATTTTCGGAACGGGAACAACGCGTAGATGCCAAAAATCGATATCGGACGCTATGTTGGAATCCAATATGGCGGCCATCAGGATTCAGAAAGTGTCAAATATCCTACATTATGGATATTTTCAGAACGGGGACGACGTGTAGATGCCGAAAATCGATATTCGACTCCATTTTAGAATCCAAGATGGTGGCCATCAAGTTTCGTAAAAAGTGTCAAATACCCTTAGATATGGGTATTTTCGGAACGGAGACAACGCGTGGCTGCCGAAAATCGATATCCGATGCTATGTTGGACTCCAATATGGCGACCATACACACTAAGATTTTTTTACAGTATACTGTAATTTTTTACCGAATATGGAACAGCTGAACGTTCGGTAATCCATTCGGTAATCTTTCAATTTAAAATCCGTTCGGTAAAATTTCTTCGCTTGTGCGCTGTCAAAATTTACTGACCTGCGGACTGTAAATTTTACTGAACGATCAGTAAAGTTTACCATAGCGTTCAGTATATGTTTTACCGAATCTACTGTACTTTTTTCAGAATAAATCATAAAAATTAGATTTTTTATTGATTAATTATTTGTTTCTTTCTTTCACCAACCCAAAAATTCATTCGACTATTTAACCATATATTTTTTAATAGGCATTTCCATATTGAGTTCGTACAAAACTTCATAAAAAAATCAGTAATGAAGCCGGACTCAGCAAACCGTGGACTTTTGAGCCGAACTCAGCACTTTTGAGGAGGATATTGAATTGCCTAACGTCCATGGCGTCTGAAATTAATTGACCCAAAAATGAAAACTGATTAAATTTTCGTTGTAAATTGAACACAATCTAGCAAAAAAAAAAGTAAAGTACTTACGTTTCACAACATAAAACCGAATAACACTCAACATCGAAATGGCAGCAAAGGTTGTGTTTGACGGTACAAAGTTTACAAATCTGTTCAGTAAGTTTTACGGAAATGCTGTACTTTATTGCTGTTTGTTTTTGTAAAATATGATTTTTACAGTGCATTCGTTACAATTTTTACAGAATTGCGGAATCGCAGCCATTTACAGTTTCAATCAGCAAATTTGATTTACAGTTTTCGGCAAATTTCTGCAAATTACGGAAATTCAGCAGTTATGATTGCGGAAAATTGGTAAAATAATACTCTTTACAAAGCATTCGGTAAAAATGATATTTCACCGAACAAATCCTGCAAAAAAAAGTACCGAACAAGATTTAAGAAATTTGGTGTGTAGGGTTTCAGAAAAAGGGTCAAATACCCTACAATATGGTTATATATGGCGTCGGATATCGATTTTCATCCACTAGACATGATTCCAAAAATACATTTATTGATAAGTATTTGACAGTATTTCCCATTTTTTTTTAAACTGGAAACCGCGATCTTGGATTTCAAAATGGCGTCGCATATAAAATTTTCGATATCTAGACGTCACCCCGATTCAAAAAATACATTGATGGGTAAACAAACTACCCGACATAAGCGTATGCGCAATGAATCGAATGAGCAATCAACAAAAGTAATAAAAACTGCGCGAATTTGGATCAAACAGCTTCGCTTCAATGCAAAAAAAAAGTTCATTTGACAATGAAAGAAGAAATGAACACGAGTCAAGCCAAAACAAACAGTATGAAACTGATCGAAAGTGGTCCTGTTGACGTTGACGTGGATCTGCTCGAGGAGAAGACAGAATGATTTTCAATTGGAAGTGATGGTTGACAGCTTCATCTGTAAATTTTCGATTGAAAGTGACTTTGTGGCGTGGGGGACGACTCTATCTACGATGCAGGAAAGATTGTATTTTGCTGTGGCTAGCTGCGCGCACGCTGAGTAGATAGAAAGAAGATTGACGATGATTCTTAAGATTTCCTGCAAAAAGATGAAGCGCGATGCAAGTAGATGCGAGAAATGAAGGAGATTTTGCGAAGATTGATTCGCTAGTGGGAGATTTGTTGAGCATCTAGACTTGAGATTTAGATGTGTCGCCCCCTCGCTTTGTGGGGCCCTGTGTTAGCTGTAGAAACTACATTTTTCTTGACCAACATGGTTTCTACCCCAAACGTTCGGTCTCAACAAACCTGGCTTCTTTCATTTTCCTATGCCTACGGAATATGAAGGCAGAAGCACAAGGATCTCAAGGCTGCTTTCGACCGGGTTGATCATGCCATTCTACTTGCTAAACTCGAGAAGCTCGGTGTCTCTCAAGGATTCACTCGTTGGTTTGAATCGTATCTTACCAATCGAGAGCTTTGTGTGGAAATCGGCTCTGAATAATCGGAATATTTTTCAAAAAACTCAGACGTTTCTCAAGGCAGCAATTTGGAACCGCTGATATTCTCGATATTCAATAACGAAATCGGTTTGATACTTCCAACTGGCTGCCGGTATAGTCACTATATACAGTCGAATATAGCGACTATAGCTGCCGGTCATTCTACACAGAAAAAAAATCTGAATTTTAACTATCGCGTAAAATCTCCCCTCGCTTAATTTTGAGCTATACTTGTCATAAACAGCAAAATCGTTTTCAAGCTTGCATACAATATTGCTAATTTATGCGATATTGCGCTTAAATTTACACGAAATATCGCGTAAATTTATGCCAAATCTAGCGTTAATTTTATGTGTGCTATATCTCGCAGAAATTTACATGAATTTTTCGAACGGTGTATAGAATTCTCCAGATGCACAAAAGTGTGCGTGAGACCACGCGCTACATTTTTAAATAGTTGTGATATCGCGATACCTTTTTCGATCTTCTTCTTCTTCATTTTTATATATGGATGTTGGATTATAGTGTTCGTGAGATTGCGCTTGGAGATCTCTATGCAGACGATGTCAAGTTGTACGTAGTTGTGCGATGCTTCACTGATTGCTTGCAGTTGCAGCTCCTGATCGATGGTTTCGAAGAGTGGTGCAAAATGCAATATCATCACTTTCCATCGCAAGCTAAAACCTTTTGCATTCAATTATACGATCTATAACCAACCTCTGCAGCGTGCGTACAACGTTCGTGATCTAGGAATTACACTTGATTCTG